AATTACCTGGGTACTTTTAACCTTTGAATTGCCAATTACGTCTATCATACATCAAGCCAGGCAACAATGTACACCTCATGAAAGGAGAAATAGTAACTTACGATATACAGATGAATGAATTTAACTGCTTAGCGACTACTTCTCCTTCACCAAATTCCAGGAGATTCAATAGTATCTCAATGCTTCTGTACAACAATCTGAAATAAACATTTAATATGTCGCTTATATTTGTGTTGCTACTAGAATGGACATATGATACAGTACTATAAATCAATCAATCAATTAATCAATCATTGAAAAAAATAATTTCCATATCTGAAGATATAACTGGGAACAGCTAACACAATGTATAAAATTTTAAAAATACAAATTTCAAATAATGAATCGGTAAATAAATGAAGATTAGAATTGTCCCAGGGTTATGTAGTGGTCCAGTAAGGTTGAAAATAGCTCCGAAAAATTTTAAAGTGACTAAAAATCAGAAAATGTCTCTCCAGAAAAAGGATTCAGCAACTTACTTTCCACTTGGCTCCTGGTCATTCAAACGGCCAAGGATTCTGCTCACTCCGTCCACGTTGACCATCTTCAAGCAGTTTATAGGTGAGCAGGAAGACAGGTGTTGGAGAACATCAAGGAAGCACATCTTCACCTCCATGTCATTTTCGAATAAAGGTAGTGACTGTAAACAAACAATACAAAGTTCGTTATCAATATACATTTAGGACTGTTGATGGTTTAAACTTTGTGGGCGCTGTGTGCTCGATATGTGAATCAGCAGAGAGACAAGAAAAAACCACCAGGGTTGGAAGTGGAATAGAGATTTTAGTCTTTGATTTTGCGTCCTTATAATGCCATAGACATAAAATTTTGTATCCATAGACATAAAATTTTGTACCTAACCATCGTGGCAGCAATGTAGTCTGGACCATCCAATGATAAAATTCCCACTCCCTGATTCCTATATTTCAATTTTCAGGATTCACCACTGATGATCAAATGGATAATAAGAATAAAAAATAATATTTTATGATGATGATGTGTACGGAATTTTATACAGTACCTTTGTTAAGGTCTCTGCAATGTCACTTTGGTTGACTTGTTCAATATTGAATGCCTTGCTAACAGGAATGAGGTCTTGGAATTCCATTATCGGTGGGTCTGTGGTGTAAATACTGAGCAAGGTCTGTGCCAACTGCAGGCGAACTTCTCTGTTGGGCACTCGTACCAGATAAGCTAGTGAAAATACAATAATAAATCTGTAAAGTTTTATTTTATACAATATATCTATTATAAAGATTAAACTTTGTTTCTCAATAATATTCTTAGAAAAAAATAAATGTATCTTCTAGTTTGTATTTCTACACCAACATAGATGAGCTAGTATTTGAATAACAATATTGAGAGTAAACATGAAAATTACATTATAATAAATATAATAATAATGAAGAAAATACTAATCATTAGTTATAATTACACGAAAGTATTACAGAATTGATTGAGACCAAAAACTTACAAGATGCCTGTTAAAATTTTACAAATTAAAATCTTAAAACTATTATACAAAACATAAAGTATTAAATAAACCTTACCAATTTGGGATAAAGATTCTACAGAAATTTGTGAGAAGGTGCTTTCATCCGATGACTTCTGCCTTAAGAATGGCAAACTGTTGAGGAGACATTCAGTTTAATTACATTAAAAAAAAACCACAAAAGAATATTTGGACCCACCTTTATATACTTCAAATAACATAAATATATCAAGATGTGTCAAGTTTGTACAATATGTGATCGTCAACCACAAAATGATGTTGCTCCTCATGTTGAATTGTGATACCAGGCAAAATAGGTTAGAACATGAAATTTGATGAAAATAGATTCATATTTTTTCTGTACTATATGTATAGAAGTTCAATATGTACATTTTATATATGACTTGTTTTGTCTATTAACTTGAAACATGAAAGCATCTAAATACAAAATTCCCAACTGTTTTTACAAATTTGAAGTCACTTTTCTCATTAATTCTGTTTTGCATTCATGCATACAGGCCAAAACCCCAATTACTAGTATGATAATTAATAGTAAACATTTCACCAATACAACACCTTATACGTCAAAATGTAACATCCCCAGGGATGTCACCACGCTGGTCGGCAGTGGACGGGCCTGTCCAGCACTCAACATTTCAGACCAGGATTTACAGGCTCCCGACCACCACTATTATTTCAACAGTTTACAAATTATAACAAAATAATTAGTTTACCTAAACACAATAGACAAGCTAAATTGATAAAGACAAGAAGAATACAATAAATGTTTACGTGGTTACTTTAATTGTAACAAAATACTGCACTGCCCTGCTATTCATCGCTAACTTAACAGTCTAGGCCTAGGCCCAGTTGAGTCATAGAGAATGTCGTGTGCCGGCATGACACGGTTGCTCTGTACACATTCAAAGGTTAAAGTTAAAATTGTGACCATTCAAGTGTTTTATTATGAGAGCATGGTCCGGGGCAGGAAGATCATTAAAAATTTACGAAACCTGATTTATGTTTTATTTCTTTACTTTGTTTTCATTTTCTATTTTAAGTTTTTCACTTTTAATTATAATTGATATATAATGTGTGTAAATGGACAAAAAATAAATAAATGAGTGCACATGAATCAGTGACATACACATTCATCGTGGTAATCGTCAAACGTGTGAAATTACGGCAAACAATGCGGCTGGGTACAGTCGGATCGACGCTTTGTCGCCGGCATTTGTTCATTATTATTTTTTAATCTAAAACAAAGCATGTTAACTTTTGAATTTAATTAGGCCTACAGTAAGTCTATACTTCATCTGTTTTGTTGCATTCCTCAAATTCTGGCCTAGGCCTACCTGGGCCTAGCCTAAAAAAATCGCGTCAGCTAGCCTTGGGCCTAGGCCTGCTCGACTTAGGCCTTTTGCTTTTTAAGAGCTTTCACGAATATGGCGTGAAATATATGCCACCCCCTCCCCCAGAAAACGGGGGTGTGGCACCCCCTCCCCGGAAAAACGCGAAATGATCGCCGACCGGCACTCCAAAAAGCTGGTGACATCCTTGCATCCCTATGTTTGTCATCTAGCACATTTACAATGCACTGTGGTAGGTTAATAGAACATTATGCAGCCCATGAAATTAGAAAAAAAATTAGGTTTGCCGACCTTAAATTCTCCGAGGTCGGCAGCCTCAGCAATTTTTTACTACCTAGGCCTATAGTATAAACTACAATTTTTCCGAACACTCGTCATCTACAGATTGTGATTTTGTTAATTTCTCTATTAAATCAATATATTGCTGGTGAAAGAATAGTAGTATTGTACTTGTATTAATTTAATAGTGTAGTATAATACATATATTTTACATAAGAAAATCACAGAATAAATTTCGTTTTAGCGTTGTTTTATCGTTATCTTTGGCATGGGAAATACCACTTTCGTAAAAGCCACGATCGTATCATCACAGGCTGCTTCAAAAATGCCCATGCATGTCCATGTGCATGCCTAGAATGAACTATTTGGGATTTTCCACACGTGTACAGTGTACTTGTCAGTAGTGAATTCGCGATGTGATCATGATTGCGTTTACGGACGGTAGGATTAGGCCTACAATATGTTAAATTTTGTTGTTTTTAGATAATAAACAACATTTTAAATATAATAATACTGTAAAATGAAGACAAATAATAGATTTAGATAAGCATTACGATCTACGCGGCCCACATGGCTTCAATTGGGCGATGTTGTAGGCCTTGGCTGGCTACACATCTAGATGTGTATAAGAGACAGGTATTAAATAAACCTTACCAATTTGGGATAAAGATTCTACAGAAATTTGTGAGAAGGTGCTTTCATCCGATGACTTCTGCCTCAAGAATGGCAAACTGTTGAGGAGACAACCAGTTTAATTACATAAAAAAAAAACCACAAAAGAATATTTGGACCCACCTTTATATACTTCAAATAACATAAATATATCAAGATGTGTCAAGTTTGTACAATATGTGATCGTCAACCACAAAATGATGTTGCTCCTCATGTTGAATTGTGATACCAGGCAAAATAGGTTAGAACATGAAATTTGATGAAAATAGATTCATATTTTTTCTGTACTATATGTATAGAAGTTCAATATGTACATTTTATATATGACTTGTTTTGTCTATTAACTTGAAACATGAAAGCATCTAAATACAAAATTCCCAACTGTTTTTACAAATTTGAAGTCACTTTTCTCATTAATTCTGTTTTGCATTCATGCATACAGGCCAAAACCCCAATTACTAGTATGATAATTAATAGTAAACATTTCACCAATACAACACCTTATACGTCAAAATGTAACATCCCCAGGGATGTCACCACGCTGGTCGGCAGTGGACGGGCCCGTCCAGCACTGAATATTGCCGACCAGGATTTACAGGCTCCCGACCACCTCTATTATTTCAACAGTTTACAAATTGTAACAAAATAATTAGTTTACCTAAACACAAAAGACAAGCTAAACTGGGGGGGGGGGGGGGGA